TTTTGCGCCTCGAACAATATTCGGCAACGCGTAAATCGCGGTAATTTTCGCGCGACAATGTTACGCGCGAAGACTGTCCACGCGGGAGAGAGAATATGCGGAAACGCAAGAGAGTGGATGGGTCGTAGTTTCTCCCAATAGAGTTCCGTTACGTTAATACCGCGACTCGACAATAAAACTAATCTCTCGCCATTTTATAACGGACCGGCAACCGATAGGTAATTCGGGACCCATCCACCCTGCTACCTTAATTTGGCGACAGCAGAATGACCACGTCGTCTCACCAGTCCTGTAACGATCCTTATCGTCCTCTCCTCTCTCGCTCTCTCTAAGTCGCGCTTCCGTCTCGGGACCTCCACTCTCTTCGGGCGCTCGCTAGACAGTGCCGAACCGGGGCCCTCAGGAGACACGTCGGTGACCCAATTACCTAGATAGGCCACTCGCGGCGCTATCAGGTCGGCCGCGCGCGCGGCCTCGGTGATCCTTGCGGCCGCGCGCTTAATTATCCTTACCCGCGGAGTCCTGATCCGCGGGTTGCCCTTCGTAGGCGGTCGTCGCGGCAGCGCACGGCAGGGCCGCTCCTTGTTCTCCTTCGGGATTCCGGATGTCCCGGGGGCGGCAACTCTCCTGCCGGCGCTCCGTATGCGGGGACTCGGGTGCTGGTTGCACCCGAGTGGCCATCCCCTGCTCGCTCCTGGAAGGTACAAATTTTTAGGCAGTGGCACCTACTCCGTTGTCGGATGTTCGGTGAAGAAATTTTGAATCTTGGGCTTACCGGGCGTGTCTCTGACGAAGGGGGTTTCCGTCGTCCTGCTTCCTATGCCTTCTTATCTCTCCTCCAGGGTTTCTCTCTCGGCTGAGACTCGTCGCACATCCTGTCTGCCGCCGAAATAATCCTAACTCTCAACAAAAAAAATATACGAAAACGCGTAGCAGCGGGATCGCGTCCGGTCCCGCGCTTTTCGCACGCACGCTCTCTCTCTCTCTCTCTCTCTCTCTCTCTCTCTCGCTGTCTCGGGAGAGCAGAGGTCCCGTGCCCTCCCCCGATCGGGCCATTCAGCCCTTGTGACGGACAATTTCAATTTGTCACGTCACAATTGATTGTGATTCTTGTTATATTGGGCAAACCAAACATTTAGAAACTAGAATCAGAGAGCATAACTTTGATATTAAAAACATGAAACATGCCATTCTGTTATCAGTAAACATAGAACCTTTTTTAAACATGAATTTGACTGGTCTAATGTGTCCATCTTACACGACAAGGCACATATAAAAACGAGAGAGATAAGTGAGATGATTTTTATTAAAAAACAGATAAACTCTATTAATTTGCAAAAGGACACTGATAACTTAAATGACATGTACAACGATATTCTCGATTTGTTTTAAATAAATATACTTTTATTAATTTGGATCCTTGTCGCTTTATATTTATTTTTATTTATTATAATTTTTATTTATTTTATTTATACTTTATAAAATTTATTGTATTTATTAACCTTAGTAACCTTCCATAAAAATGTTTATAAGGCTCTCATGTTTATATATTGTTTTTGTATTATAACTTATGAGACGACTTTCAATTTCTATATTTTATAATCAGACTTATTTGCGAAAGACTGTCGATGATGTTACAGTGTCAATTTACATGTCAGTGCGAACTATCGGTTCTCTTTTTCACTTTTAAGAATGTCATTTCTGCTGTGTTACAACTGACAATTACCTGATCATTCGTTGATTAGAATATGTATTTTAATTCAATAGGTATTTATGTATATCTTATTATAATTTTGAGTTCTCTTATACATCGATTATTCATTGATATTTTTATTATTGTTTTTATTTTATTGTATTACCGAAATGTATTATGTAATTTTTATAGCCTGAAGAGGACCTAATTGATGATCGAAACGTCGTTTCTTTTCTAATAAAAAAAATTTAAACTTTGCCGGTGTTGGTCAATCAATTCCTGCCTAATTTGGTTTTTTAAAAATTTAACTGGCGATCATATCACGTTTTTCTTGTTTTTATATTTTAATATATTAGATACATATTATAGAATTTATAAAAACATTTTTGTTAATTATAGCGTTTTAGAGACTTAAGGCACAATTTACACACAGTTATTGATCTCTCAATGTATATCTTTTCTTTTTTCATTATATATTGATAAAATTATTTATTAATAAAATAATTTATACATATTCTATATATCTGTGTAGGATTAAATAAAAGAGTTCATACAGGAAAAGGAAAAACATTGGTTTGTATGTCAGCGCGCTACTCGAAAGTTACCAAAAATTTAGCAAGCTATACAATGCGCAACAGGGGAATTCAAAATACAAGAAAGAGCGACAAAGAAAGCAATTTCCGATGCTACTGCAACATGTTGAAGAATAGATACGACAAGGTCCCGTACGGAAAGAAACTATTGAAATGCTAATAGTAACTATTAGGATGATAATAGTAACTATTAAACGCCAATAGTTACAAGCAGTAATTACTACTGCAATAATTATTGCAACACTAGTAATAATTATTGCAACACTAGTGTCCACTACACAATTATTAATTATTACCAATGTGAATTATTAGAATGTAATAGTGCGTACTATTGAAATATCACTAGTACAAAGATTTAACAGTATACACTGCTATCATACCAATCATTGAATAGTGTGAACTAATAGTGTGCACAAGTTTGCAATATTAAACCAACTAATAGTGCACATTCTGTATAGTGTATACAGTTGAACATTTCGTCCTACCTTATTAGTAATGAGAGTATTACTAATAATGTGCACTAAATTGCATATTTTAATCAGTGCGTCGTAACAAAAAAAATGTTTTAAAGGTAAAAGAAGAGGTTAATAACAAAAAAATTATATATAAAAATAATAATCTTTTTTAATTTATATTTATATATATATATATATAATTGCAATTATTACATATATTTTATATATATATTATATATATATATTATATATATATTTTATAATATATATCAATATGTATATATATTAATCACGTTCAATATTATTTACGAGGCGCACAATGCAATACTTATTATCTACATTATTGTATGGAATTTTTACACATTTGGCATATAACATGTCAGGAAAGACAGCGATGAGAGAATCAGTCATGCGAGTAATGTGAAAAAAACGATTCGATGAAAGTATTGGATTGTTTGATTTACAAATTTCCATATCAATAATAGGATTAAGAATCTTTCCAATAATAACGCATCGTACATAATTTGTCCGCACAATACGAACATTAAAAATGCCGGTTATTATTATAAACATACCATTCTGTAGCAATACTGTACTGTTTTGTCGTCTTTGAAGTTTTTCATAGTTCTCGACATGCCACAATACATTTCGAAAAATGAAACGTTTGTAACAATCACACTCGTTTAATATATTTTCATGTAAAAGAGCTTCTATACAAGTTTGCTCCATTAATGTTAACATTTTTTGAACCGGTTTTCCAAATATTTTAAAATAAGGTTCATATTCTAGATAATTTTTTGAATGATACATTTCACTCATTTTATAATATAAAATTTTTGCATTTTCGAAACAATCGGGTCTTGAAAATACTTTCAAACATGAATTTTCAATGCGCTTTGATCTCATATATAATTTGCATATCTGTTCCGGAACAGCTTGCGAATTTCGAAACATTTTCCTTAATACTCCGTTATAATGTTCATAAGGAAACGTAGATGTAGCCCATAGAGCCCCAAATTGTTTAACAAACTTTGGGATATGTAATAACAAATGTACATTAAACTTGTAATATTCTAAGCCATATAGATTTTCTATTTTAAACACGAACATTTTCAATGCATTTTTAGCCGTCGAAAAATCTACGCCATTGATTTTTTCTTGTAGAAATATGTGCATGCTACAGATAAAAAGAAACCAGTGTCTTACATATTGTAAAGGCATTACGTTTTGTAGACAAATAAGAGAGTAATAGAGCAAGAAGTTCTTCCATTCTGATGCCTTCCATAAATTTCTTTCATTAATAGATCTGGGCGTACGAGTAATTTCACACGGTGGTTTTATTTGCAACAGCTTCTCGTCAATAAGATCTACTTTGTTTCCTATATACCAGTTTTTTTCGTGATTTGACGAGTTAAACCAAGCATCCGTAAAAGTTTTTGTAACTCCCAATAAAACAGAATGCATATAATCAGGTGTAAACGAAGATGTAATATCAAAGACCGGTAGTAGCATTAAAACTGTTGGTCCTTTCACACCGTGAGGTGTAGTTCCAGTTTGCACAGCAATTTCACAATCTACTTCATGTTGATGCAATGTGCGCGGTTCCTTTACGTAACCAGGATATACTCTTGTCATTCCTTTACCGACTTCAATGTGAATACCTTCATGCAGGCAAAAGCTGCAACCAAAACTTCCATTATATTGTTTTATATTTTGTAATAAAGGTCGCGCGACAGAATCTACAGGAGACGCGATTGTGTGTACTCTAATATGAATTTCTTCTTCGCCTGGCACGTTACGTGTAATGCCTACTTCATGCAATGAGATCAATTCCTCGACGAGTAAAGATAAAAACAAATTCATATCAGGTTTTTCTTTACCATACCACAAACCACACAACATCATATTTTTTCTCCTTTCTCTATACGGCAATTCATTTATCATCACCTGTATAGGCCACATAGATACAGACGATGAATGAAACACTTGAACTCCGTCAGAACTGATCTGCAGCGTGATATCATGTAATTGAATTATCCCAGAATCTTTTAAAGATGTATACACTTGTCCAGAAATTATATCAGAATAATTATCGTTTTCTTTTTGAAGCAAAACATATTTGTCGCTGTTTACAAAGTCGCGCAACTGCTGTTTTAAAGGTAAATATAGGAAATAGTTACCACTTTTTCTCAACGTATGTTTATCATATCTAAATAAATTCACAAACATTGAATTAGATGATGTAATTAAACACGGGACGATAGTGAAAGTTCGATGGCCAAAAGACTGTGATGTGGGCCCTGTAGCAACAACAATGAAAAAAAAATTGGCCAATTGTCAATGGGAGGTGGTTGCAACAAAATTACGGGCATATGGAGGTAAGCGCGCATCAATAATATTGAATAAAAATAGTTTTATAAAATTTTAGATAAGAGCTTAGGAAGAGAGATATGAGATAACACTTTATTGAAATTTTAGGATGGATTAAAATGTGTGAGATCAGAGACAATTTAGAAAAGTATGGTATCACTGAACTTGACAGAAGTAATAGAAAACAGTTCACGAGTAAAAATAACCATACAGAATGTGATAGTAATGATGAATCAGGAGTAAAAGAAACAAAAAAGGATGCGAAACAAAAGGTATAACATACATAATTATATAGATATAAATCATGATTTTAAAAATCGCATGCTATAAAAATAAATTTATACTATTGAATAAGAGAGTATAACGATTTTTTATTTATAGAAATGTATTCTAAATGTAAAAAAAGGAAAAGAACTTTTAAAACAATACAAACACAAAAAGCAGAAATATTCGTCACAGGTATTTTTTTAATTTGTGTGCGTGCGTGCGTGCGTGCGTGCGTGTGTGTGTGTGTGTGTGTGTGTGTGTGTGTGTGTGTGTGTGTGTGTGTGTGTGTGTGTGTGAATGTATATAATGTGTTCTTTAGACTTTTCCTTTTGAAACGTGACAAAATAGGTTGATATATAATTTATACCATATTATAGAATAAATCGAGAGATATCAGCGACGACGAATCTGGTGAAGAAAACGAAAAATCTCTCATTGATAAACAATCAAAGTCACAATTAAAAGATACAGTCATTGTATTAAATGAGGAAAACAAAAGATTACGAAGAGACAATGAAAGACTGCGCAAATTACGATCTGTCAACGAAGGTATTCTTGTTGAATATTTTCCTCTTAATAATCCTCAGAAATCAAATTAAATATTCCGTTATGAAATAAAGTCAAATGATTAAAGAAAATTAATTAGAATTATATTATATTATTATTATTAATAATTATATTATTATTATTCAGAGTATTTCAATTTGTTTACTACTCAGTATAACTCAAATTGCATTACTACAGATAAACTTTAATTTTTATCTCGATAGTTTTTTTTAAATAATTGTCGAATTATTGCATTTATCAGCAATTCACCAAATAAATAGACAGATTTCTAAACAACGAGTGCAAACGTTAATCATTTCTTTACAAATACATTTCTTTATATGCTACTTTTTCGAGCGTTTTTCAATTTTGTTAGTACAATTCTTAATACAATCACACCGTTATGTATTTTTTTAGATTTGCCAAAGATAGATAAATTTATGAAAGATGTTACGGCCGACTTGCAATGTGCTTCATGGAAAACCGAATTTCTCAATAATCAGATTGATAAACTGCAACAGGTATATATTATGTAATTTTGACTTTTATTTGCATTAAATCGTATATTTGTAAATATATTGTAATATGAAACGATATATGCTAATTGTGCTTATTTGTTTTGTAGAAAGTACAAGCAATAAGTAACTGCATTATTGAACGTGAGCAAGATTATACTCCGCCTCCAGCAATGACACTAGAGTCTGATCCGATCTGGATCAGCAATAAGTTGGATCTACCAAACAATAAGTTAAAATCATTTCGAAATCAAATCGATGTATCGCCTGCAACATTGATAGTGCAAAATAACGAGTTAGAGCCAATTGTAAGTAGCGATAAGTTAATACGAGTAAAATCGTCTCAAAGATCGGATACAGATGAGTTTCGTGAATCAACATCCTCACGTGAGTCGAAACCTTCGACATCCGGACATATTCTACCGCAAAATTATAACCGAGAATCATCACCGGAAGATTTCTTTTATACTCATCCAGACGTTAGAAATAAAAATATAAAAGTAGTCAACACACATGAATTGGAAAACGTACACGAATCGAATGCAGTAGATAAAATAAAGCCTGCGGATAAGCATCAATCAATCGCAGTACGCAAGCCTAAAAATTATTTCAATTATTTTATAATGCGCTATTTAATATAGAAGTTAATATTTTTAGAATTTCGATTGAAATTTTGATTTTTAAGTGTATAGTATAAATATATTAATTGGTAGTTGGTTTTCAATTTTTATCTGATGCAATTTTGCGATGAATATGAATATCATTACATTTTATAATTATTTAAAAGTTATTTTATCATATTTTTTGTACAAAATCACAGGAAAAAACAGTCGACCTGGGAGGACCAGAACTTTGTGTGGTGAATGCTACTCGTCTTTTTTTGTGCAATCACACATCTGCCTCTAAATTGATATGCGAGATGATGTCATTGTTATTTTCAAAAGAAGAGTTGGCTACTTCCTCGCTTACAGGAACTGTGGCAAATTTTCATTGCAAAAAAGGTGTAGCCGCTAAAAAGAAACTCGATACGGTGAAAATTGAAGCTATGAAAAGTATGTGATCATAATTTGTGCGATGAAGTATTGATTTCGCATAGGTAACAATTTGAAAACCGATAAATACATGTATATATGTGCTTTCAGCATACGTTAAGAACAAATTTTCATCAGAAAAAGATTTTGATAAAATATTCCGGAAAGCAGTGCAACAGAAGTGCAATAATGCAGTTCCTCGAAATAGAGGGCCAAATAATAAAGGAGATGAAATTAAGAAGTAAGCCAGCTATGTCAAAGCGAAGAAAAAACAAAGAATGATTAATCTAAAATTATTATATTATTATTATTAGAACTATTATTTTTATTTTTAAAATTACTATTATTATATTTGTTACGGATTCAATCGATTTCGTGACAGCATCGATAATCGAATCAATAATAACTCGCATGAAGCCAGAGAGGCAGCACCTCCCGGCAAGCGTATTTATAGCTATTGTTCTCACCAATCACGCAGAATACACGTGAGAAGTAGCAAGCCACGAAAACAAAATTCCTTTGGGTTTTTCGGCAGTAAAAGCGAAGTCAGTCGTTGAAAGTCTCTCCAAGAGTAAAGTCGACATAAGTAAGCGCTCTCTTCAATTGAAAATCATTATTAATCAAGTCGGATTAAATGATATAAATCAAAACCTAAGACTATTACTGTGTGCGAGTACTGAGTTACGCGGAGTATTGTGCATACAATTAGATTGCCGCGAATAGTCCGGCAATAAAAACGAGGCTTCGCGCTATCAACCAGGGCGCAACTCATTGTTTAAATACGAACTGTATAGTTCCTAATGATCACTCTCAATCAGCTCTCGGTTCACATGTCAGTGACCGTACATAAGTGTCTCACACTTAAGCAAGTTCACGTGTCAGTGAAATTACTCTCATGTTTTTCTTTCGCATGACGATTATTAAATCGTATGTAAGAACAATTAAAGGAAATTTAATATTTGTGTAGGAGGATATTTTGCGCGTACAGATTAGCAGTGTCCTTCAAATCAAACATAGTCGACGAACAAACAAGTGCGAAAAAACATTCTATGTGTACGACGAACAAAGGTTATCGAAAATTCCTTCGAATTTCAGACTCGAAATTATGATCATGAATAACAAGCGTGATCGACGTATGCATACTCAGTGTATTATACTCGCATTGTTGTGAAGAGAATAATGAAATAACCTTGTTAACGATTTCATTTTTTTTTGTTTAACGTGTGCTATGTGAAGTAATAAATACTTTTGATAATGTGTTAAACTTGAATGTTCAATGAATTTTTTTTTATTCGGCACTGGCCTAACTTGCCATTTCCTTCGCGCACCAAATTCGGAGCGCGTCCACCCTACATCAAGATAGTTTAAATATCTCGATCACATTGAAACAATATTATTATTATTAATTCGTATTAATTATTTATTAAAATTATTATTATTCTCTTTATCTATAAAATTATTCTACTAAAATATATTATTTTTCAATATTTATAATTATTAACATGATATTATTATTTGAATTTAATTATGCGAATAAAAATACAACTAGTAATTAATGTAAAATAAATAATCAGTGTTGCTTTATTTCTATATAGCAATATATTATATATAATAATAATGTATATATATATATAATGTATATATATATAATGTATATATATATACCAGTACATCACACCGTCCAGATAAGTTTGGAAACACCTAAAGTTTTAGAGTATTTAGAGACAGATAAAGCATAATCGCATGGCAGTGATATCGGCGCAGATTTTTGGTATATGGACATATCGTGTAAGACGTTTAAATGACGATATATTTCCATTTAGAACGTCTTACAATATATTCATATCAAAAATCTGCGCAGATCGCTGCCATGCGACTGTTATTTATATCTGTAAAACGTGAGATGTTTCCAAACTTATTATATGGAGGGTATATCGTATATGTATATATATATATATATCGCGGGGAGATTATATATATACATATATACATACATACATACAGGGTAGGCCATTTTAATCTTTCCACTAAAATTTCTCAAAATCCAAAAATTTAAGACAAAAATGTTTCAGATAAAAGTTGTATGGTTTCAAGGGGGACATGAGATGGTGTCATTGATTTGACCTTGAATAGCCATTTGAAGGTTACGTGAAGGTCAACTTCAATTTCTTAAATGGAACACTATATTTTTCTTGCATACTTTTGTAGCTGACTTCGAGATCTTTCCAAAACACTACAATAAAATATTTTTTCATGAAGTATTTTTCGAGTTATTAAGGCTGCAAATTTGCAGTATTTTGACATAAAATACAAAATATCTTGGGAAATATTCATTTTTCGATTATCATACCTTAATACTTTTATGCACAGAATAATGAGATAAATCAGTTGATGTAAAGAAAACACATAGTTACCTTTAAAAAAAAATATGAAAATTGCAATAAGCAGTTAGATAATTTTTCTTTAAGACAACTATGTGTTTTCTTTACACCAATTGATTCGTCTCATTATTCTGTGCATAAAAGTATTAAGGTATGATAATCGAAAAATGAATATTTCCCAAGATATTTTGTATTTTATGTCAAAATACTGCAAATTTGCAGCCTTAATAACTCGAAAAATACTTCATGAAAAAATATTTTATTGTAGTGTTTTGGAAAGATCTCGAAGTCAGCTACAAAAGTATGCAAGAAAAAATATAGTGTTCCATTTAAGAAATTGAAGTTGACCTTCACGTAACCTTCAAATGGCTATTCAAGGTCAAATCAATGACACCATCTCATGTCCCCCTTGAAACCATACAACTTTTATCTGAAACATTTTTGTCTTAAATTTTTGGATTTTGAGAAATTTTAGTGGAAAGATTAAAATGGCCTACCCTGTATATATACAAATATATATATATATAATCTCCCCGAATACATACCTTACCAAGTACGTAATAGTGCGGATGTAAAACTACTACTGCGGATGTAAAACTACTAGTGCAGATGTAATACTAGTAGTGCGGATATAACACTACTAGTGCGGATGTAACACTACTAGTGTGGATGTAACACTACTAGTGCAAATTTCAATAGTGCGCGAAATTACTATTGATCTAGTGTGCACTAATAGTTCTATAGTTTTCAATTCAATAGTTTCTTTCCGTACGGGGTTGGCATCATAAAATAACAATGTAATATTTAAAAAATTTAAATTATTTTTCTTATTTATGCAATTTTTCTATGTATTTATACTGATATACATTACTCCGATTTTACCTTTTATAGATCGATAAATCAAATATAAAGCTACACAAAATAATTTGCAAGACAAAATTCGCGAAGTAGAGCATCAATATAGCTTTATGGATGATTTGCGACAACAATTGGAAGAAAAGGAGCAAAAGTATGGGAAAAATATCGAATCTGTGTCTCGTTTGAAACATAGTTGGGAAGTGAATAAATAATCTTTATAATTCTTATCAATTATCTAATCATTATTATATCAAAGATAATTTTATAATAATATATTTATATATTGTGTAGAAACACATACAACGAGTGGAAGCTCGCGACAAAGCGACTTTATAAAGTTGAGGAATTTGTACAGTTCTCTGGTGCAAAATTCTTTTACTGATATGCTCTCTCTAAGACAATATAAGGTAGCTATAGAAAGATGTTTCTTAACTACATTGTATTAATTGTTAGTACCTTTCTTATTTTATATTTTGAAACTTTTTATACCTTTCCCAAAGTTTTTATATTTTAATATATTAGATATATTATAGAATTAATAAAAACATTTTTGTTAATTTTTAAAAATTTCTTTATTTATTTATATTATTATTTATTTATAAAAATTATTATTATTTATAAAAAAAAATTAAAAATTATAATTAAAAATAATCGTTCGGCTTCCTCTTCCTACTACTCCTCGTCTCATTCCTCTTCCTCCTCGTCTCATTCCTCTTCCTCCTCTTCTCATTCCTCTTCCTCCTCTTGCTTTCCATTCCTCTTCTTTCTCCATTTCCTTCACGTGTTTCGTCTCTGTATTCTTTCCTACGCGCAGACCATTTATATCTATAAAGCATAGAGAGATTTTATTTATTTAATTTTTTTATACATATATATAACTGTTTATTTCATTTATTTATTAATAATTAGAGAGACAATATTATACTGCATGTATGCGTAAATGCTGTATTATATTCTAGCTTGATAAAAAAAAAAAAAAAATATATATATATATACACAAAATTTAATTCAAAATTTAATAAACATACCTCGCATCACGTTCAACACGTCTTATTCCAGCCCGACGCTGCGTACGGGAATCGTCTTCGTCGTGCCAATGCTGATGTTGCTGTTGTTGGTGTTCTCTCTGTCCTTCGTCTCTTTCTCGCCTCTCTTCTCTAATAATAAAAGATATCAAAAATATATTATATATATATATATATATATATATATATATATGTTTATATATATATGCGTGCGTGCGTGTGTGAGTCGTGTGTGTGTGCGCGCGCGTGCGCGCGTGTACGTGTAATTATATACAAATATAATATTTTAATATATTGTATATAGTATATTTAAACATATATATAGAACAATATATATATACCTTTCTTCATCTGCTTCATCATCTGCTTCATCACTATCTTTTAAAAATTCCTCCAATTCTTTCTTCCTATTTTTTAATTTTTTTTTCTTTCTCCATTAATTCCTCCAACTTTCTCTTAGCTTCTTTTTTATCCATTCTATAATAAAAAAAACGTTATTACGTTTGTGCAAATATTTTATGTTTTATATATATATATATATATATATATATATATGTTTGTCCCGGGCCAGTTTCCGGGACTTTTGACATCCCGTATTGGCAGATTCCGGGACATTTGGCATTTTCCAGGACTGACCTGGAAAAAATTTAGGTCCCACGGCAGTTTCCAGGACGCCCTGGAAACTGCCATTTAGATGAAATGGCAGATTCCAGGTCTGTACATTTAGATGTATATACATTAAATGTACAGACCTGGAAACTGCCATACACTTAAATGTATATATGTACATTTCGATGTATGACAGTTTCCAGGTCTGTACATTTAATCTAGAACTATATGGCAGTTTCCAGGTCTGTACATTTAAATGTATATACATCTAAATGTACAGACCTGGAAACTGCCATATATTTAAATGTATACATGTACGTTTCGGTGTATGGCAGTTTCCAGGTCTGTACATTTAATTTAGAACTATATGGCAGTTTCCAGGTCTGTACATTTAAATGTATATACATCTAAATGTACAGACCTGGAATCTGCCATTGTATCTAAATGGCAGGTTCCAGAACGTCCTGGAAACTGCCGTAGGACATAAATCTTTTTCAAGATATACCTATACAAAGAAAATAATAAATTTTTTATAATATATAATTATTGCATATACAAATATATACATTTCATAAATATACATGATTTCTAAACGCAAAGATATAATTACTTGATATATTTTTATAACTTCAAAATTTTAGGCTTACTAAAAGCAATTTTAAAAAAGCAATATTGCAAATGTTAGTAAGAAATGATGAAAAGAAATTAAAATTGTTGTTATTGTCGTTATATTCAAACAACCAGATTGTAATAAAAAATAATAAGAATTTAATAAAATGAAGATTATTGATTTTATTGCAATACCGAGAAAAGAGAGAAACATATTTCTTCATTATAGCAATAATAAAATCATTAGTTAACATCAGTTATTATAAGATTATTATAATAAAATATGATATTTCAAATTTATTGATATAGAAATAAGATTTCTACATATACAAAGAGACACTATCTTAAGAAAACTTACACTGATCCCGAAATATTCACGAATGCAAACAACTTTGCAAACCTTGAAACGTAATACATAGTTAATAACAGAATTATATGAAAAAATAAACACAAAAAGTTTAGACATGTCAGAAGATTTCTCCAAATGTTAATGAAAACTTATTAAAACGCAAATCAAAATTATTTACATTATGGTTATATTCACCAAGCTCAAGTTTAAATAAAAATTAACAAAAATAAATCAGTACTTAACTAATTATAATGAAAATATTTTTCGCGGAATAATTTATTACTTCAGAATTTGAATTAAGATTTATAGAAATAATACAAATTTAAGATACAATATTTTCAAACAATTTTAACGGTCCTGGAAAATGCCGTATTTTCAATAATGCAAATAATTTTCCAGAACTTAAAACACAAGTCATTCTAATAGTAAGATTATATAAAAGAACGTCGACAAATTTAGAAGAACTCACCAGAAGCCTTCTCAAAATAATATTACTTCAAGTGTAAATGCAAATAATGTGTGCAAATTTACAAATTATCAAAACTAGTGATATTATTCTTATATATAAACATTCAATTTATACCGTATTAAATTAAAAAAATCAGCTTTCAGTAGTTAATCAAAATGTAAATATGATCTTTCGAAGTAGTATTTATTATAATTTCGAATTAAGACTTATAAAAGAATAAAAAGAGACAATATTTAAAAAAAGCTTTACTAATCCCGGAACATGCTGTGTATGTTCAAAAATGCAAATGTCTGAATAATTTAGAACTTATTATGTTGCTCTAATAGCAGAATTATAAAAAACTTCTCGATAACTGTAGACTTATCAGAAATCTTCTTAAAATAAAACTACTTCAAGTTTCAATGTAAATGTGTATGTGAAAATCTAAACCAAAATTTACTGTCGATATTATTCCATCCGAAAATTTAATTTGCATGGTATTAATACAAAAATCAACTGTCAACACATAATTACATGTAAATATGGTCTTTTGAAGTAGAATTTAATACTTGAAAGTTAAAATTTTAATTGAAATAATCCAAAGAAACATTATATTTAAAAAATTTAATCGGTCCCGGAACATGCCGTACGTTCAATAATGCAAATAATTTTTTAAATCTAAATACATAATACTCATTCTAATAGCAGAATTATTTGAAATAAGATCCTTGATAAATGTAGACTTACCAGTAACTTTCTTAAAATAAAACTACTTTAAGTTTCAATGCAAAGTGTATGTGAAAACCTAAAACAAAGTTTATTGAGAGTACTATTATATCCAAAGATTTAATTCACATGGTTTTAATAAAAAAAAGTCAGCTCTCAATAAATAATTATATGTAAATATGATCTTTTAAAGTAGAAATTAATAACTGAAAATTAAAATTTATAATGAAAATTATTTCATTTTGTATTAACAAAGAGGACAATTTAAGAAAGTTTTGTCGGTCCCGAAACATGCCGTATGTTTAAAAATGCAAATATCTTTTCAGAATTTAAAACTTATTATGTCACTCTAAAAGCAGGACTATATAAAACAAAATTCTCGATAATTGTATACTTAAAAAAGTCTTCTTAAAAATAAACCTACTTCTTAAGTTTCAATGCAAGTGTAAATGTGAAAACCTAAACCAAAATTACTGATTTTATTGTTATATACAAAGACATAATTTACATACCTTTAATCCAAATATCAGATCGCAACATGTAATTATAATGTGAATATGATCTTTTAAAGTAGCAATTAAAACTGCAAATAAAAATTTATAATGAAATACTACAAAGACGCGATAATTAAAAAAAAATGTTATCGGTCCCGAAACATGCCGTATGTTTAAAAATGCAAATACTTCTGAATTTAAAACGTCCCCCACACAGCGAAAATTATATGACATAAATTCCTCAACAACTTTAAACTTACCAGAAGCTCTTCTTAAAATAGAATTATTTCGACCATTAATGCATTGATGTGTGTGGACATCCAAACAAAAATTAATGCATTATACCCGAATATTCAATTTAAATTGTTTTAATCTACAAATCCATTTTCAACACTTAATTATAATGTAAATATGATATTTTAAAGTAAAATATAACTAGAAATTAAAATTTTAATGGAAATAATACGAAAAAGCAATACCTTACATAAATTTATGCTGTCCTAGAAAATGCCATATACTCAAAAATGCAAATAGCTTTACAGAATTTAAAACTTATTATGTTGCTCTAATAGCAGGATTATATGAGACAAAATTCTCGTGAAATGTAGACTTACCAGAAGCCTTCTAAAAAATAAATCTACTTCAAGATTCAATGAAAATGTGTGTGTGAAAAAACTTAAACCAAAATGAATGACTTTACTATTATATCCAAAGAGATTTACTTAACTTTAAAATCCAAATATCAGCTCTCAACACGTAATTATAACGTAAATACGATTTTTTGAAATAAAATTTTATAACAAGATATTAGACTTTATATAGAAATAATACAGATCGACATTACTTTAATACATTTTTTTATTGGTCCCGGAATTTGCCAAATATTAAAAAATGCAAATATCTTTCCAGAATTTAAATCTTATTATGTCGCTCTAATAGCAGGATTATATAAAGCCAAAGTTTCTTACAACTTGCGACTTACCAGAAGCCTTCTTAAAAATAAACCTACTTCTCTCTCGCAGTAGTCTCAACGCAAATGTGGGTGTGAAAACCTAAACCAAAATTATTGACTTTATTCTTATATACGGAGATACAATTAACATATTTTTAATCCAAATATTAGAACCTAACACATAATTATAATGTGAATATGATCTTTCGAAGTAGAAATTAATAACGGAAAATTAAAATTTATAATAAAATAATACAAGGAAGCAATAATTTAAGAAAAATGACATCCCAAAACATGCCGTATCTTCAAAATAGCAAATAATTTTTCTGAATTTAAAACGTCCCCCTTATAGTGATATTATATGACAAAGAATCCTCGATAACTATAAACTTACCAAAAGCCCTTTTTAAAATAGAATTATTATTTCAACCATTAATGCATTGATGTGTGTGGACATTCAAACCAAAATTAATGCATTATAGCTGAAGATACAATTTAAATCGTTTTAATCTAAAAATCCATTCTCAATTAGCACTTAATTATAATGTGAATATAATACTTTGAAGTAGAATGTAATAACTAAAAATTAAAATTTATGTAGAAATAATACAAAAAAGCATTACCTTATAAAAAGTTTAGCGGTCCCGGAAAATGCCGTATGCTCAAAAATGCAAATATCTTTCCAGAATTTAAAACTTATTATGTTTCTCTAATAGCAGAATTATATGAAACAAAATTCTTGATAACTTTAAACTTGTTAGAAGCCTTCTTAAAAATAAACTTCAAGATTCTATGCAAATACGTATGTGAAAATCTAAACCAAAATTTCTTGACGTTACTATTATATATCCGAAGATTCAATTCACATATCGTTTTAATTCAAAAGTAAGCTCTTAGCATAAAATTATATATAAATATAGTTTTTTGAAGTAGAATTTAATAACTCAAAGTTAAAATTTATATTTAAATAATACAAAGAAACATTACTTTTAAAAATTTTATCGGTTCCGGAACATGCCGTACGTTCAATAATGCAAATAATTTTTCTATAACCTAAAAACATAATACTCGCTCTAATAGCAGAATTATTTGAAACAAATTTCTCGATAACTTTAGACCTACCAGTAGCGTCCTTAAAATAAAACTGCTTCAAGTTTCAATGCAAATGTGTATTTGAAAACCTAAACCAAAATTTATTGACGTTACTATTATATATCCGAAGATTCAATTCACATGGTTTTAATTCAAAAGCTAGCTTTCAATATATAATTATATGTATTAATATGATCTTTTCACGTAGAATTTAATAACTAAAAATTAAAATTTATATTTGACACAACAAGAAGGATTGGATAACTACATCATACAGGAATACTGCACATCGTGTATTTCACAAGACAAACTTTTATATCAATATGGCGATGGCGAGAGAGAACATTAATTATAAATTAATATAGATGGTCGATCGGGACGACCAAAAAGATTATAAATAGCGACACCACAGTTCGCGTTGATTGGCTAGCTTAGCAATATTGTTATAGATGTGATCGTTAATGCTCTAACAATATTGCAATAATACAAAATAAAATTATTTAAAAAATAGTTTATCGGTCCCGGAACATGCTGTATGTACACTAATCGTATGCAAATAGCTTTTAAAACTTTACAACATTATATCTCGTTTGAATAGCAAGCTTATATAAAAAATCTGTATAATCTTAGACTTTTATCAAAAGTATTCTAAAAACTACTTTAATAAAAAATGATATAAAATCAAATTGAAATTATACTGACGAATGTTCAATTTAAATCGTTTTAATCCAAAAATCGATTCTCGAATAATTAATTATAAATTAATTATAAAAATCGATTCTCCAATAATTAATTATAATGTCAATATAATCTTTCGAAATAGAAATTAATAACTAAAAACTTAAAATGAAATAATACAGAGGCAATAATTTAAAATTTTTTTCTGTCCCGAAACATGCCGTATGTTCAAAAATGCAAATAATTTTCCTGAATTTAAAACGTCCCCCTCTAAATAATAATATTACATGACAAACTTTTAATTATAATGTAAATATGCTATTTCAAAGTAAAATTTAATAATTTAAAATTAAAATTTACATAGAAATAATAAAAAGAGACATTACTTTATAAAAATTTTAGCAGTACCGTAATATACCGTATGTTCAAAAATGCAAATCATTTTCTTGATTTTAACACGTCCCCTTCATAGCGATATTATATGACAAAAACTCTTCGATAACTTTAAACTTACCACACACACACACACACACACACAAAAGCCCTTTTTAAAATAAAATAATTATTTTAACCAATTATGCAAATGATGTGTGTGGGCATCCAAATAAAAATTAATACATTCCATCCGAATATTCAAATTAAATCGTTTTAATCTAAAAATCCATTCTCAACACTTAATTATAAAGTGAATATGATATTTTGAAGCAGAACTAAATAACTGAAAATTTAAATTTACATAGAAATAATACAAAGAAACATTAGTTTACAAAAATTTTAGCGATTCCGGAATATGCCGTATGCGCAGAAATGCAAAAACCTTTCCAAAGTTTAATATTACGTCGCTCTAATAGCAGGATAATATGAAACAAATAATTCCTCGATACCTTTTGACTTACCAGCAGCTTTTTTAAAAATAAACTTACTTCAAGTTTCAATGCAAATATGGATGTGAAAACCTAAACCAAAATTATTGACCTGATTGTTATATTCGAAGACACAATTTACATAGCTTTAATCCAAATGTCGAAATATCAGCTCTTAACACGTAATTATAATGTGAATATGATCTTTCGAAGTAGAAGCTAATAACTGCAAATTAAAATTTATAATGAAATAATACAAAAAGACGATAATTTAAAAAATGTTGTCGGTCCCGAAACATGCTATATATATGTTCAAAAATGGAAACATCTTTCGAGAATTTAAAACGTATTACGTCGCTAATAGCAGGATTATATAAAATAAAATTTTCGTTAACGTTAGACTTATCAGAAGCTTTTTTAATACGTAAATATAATTTGAATATGATCTTTCAAATAGAAATTACTGAAAATTAAAATTTATATAGAAATAATAGAAAGAGACATTACTTTACAAAAATTTTAGCGGTCCCCGAATATGCCGTATGTCCAAAAATGCAAATATCTTCCCATAATTTAAAACTTATTATGTCACTCTAATAGCAGGATTATCTGAAACAGAATTCTCGATAACTTTTAGACTTACCACAAGCCTTCTTAAAAATAAACTTACTTCAAGTTTCAATGCAAATGTAGGTGAGCTTTAATTCAAAAATTAGCTCTCTCATATAAGTATAATGTGAATGTGATCTTTCGAATAGAAATTAATAACTGGAAATTAAAATTTATATAGAAACAGTACAAAGAAGCTATATAATTTAAAAAAAAAACGGTGTCGGAATATATCGAAACATGTCGTATGTTCAAAAACGCAAATAATTTATTTGAATTTAAAACGTTCCCCTCATAGCGAAATTATATGACAAAAAGGTTTTGATAACTTTAAACTTATCAGAAGCCCTTCTAAAAATAGAATTATTATTTCAATCATTAATGCAAATAATGTGTGTGGACATCCAAATAAAAATTAATGCATTACACCCGAAGATTTAATTTAAATCGTTTTAATCTAAAAATCCATTCTCAACACTTAATCACAAATGACATTTAATTAAATATGACATTTCGAAGTAGAATTTAATAACTGAATATTAAAATTTATGTAGACATAATACAAAATACATAAGACATTAATTTACAAAAATGTTAATGGTCCCGGAATAGGTCGTATGTTCAAAATGCAATTACCTTTCCAGAATTTAAAACTTATAACGTCGCTCTAATAGCAAGATTATATAAAACAAAATTCTTGATAACGTTAGACTTACCAGAAGCCTTCTTAAAAATAAATCTACTTCTCAAGTTTCAATGCAAATATAAATGTGAAAAACTAAACAAAAAATTATTGATTTTACTGTTACATGCGAAAACAATTTACATAGTTTTAATCCAAGCATCAGCTCTCAACGCGTAATTATAATGTAAATATGATCTTTTAAAGTAAAAATTAATGACTGCAAATTAAAATTTATAATGAAATACAAAAAAGCGATAATTTAAAAAAACTGTCGATCCCGAAACATGCCGTATGATCAAAAATACAAATAATTTTTCTGAATTTAAAACGTCCCTCTCATGGCGATATTACATGACAAAAAATCCTCGATAACTTTAAAATTACCAGAAGCAAATAATGTGTGTGAACACTCAAACCAAAACTAATGCATTTTATATCCGATGATTTAATTCGTTTTAATTTAAAAATCCATTCTCAACACTTAATTATAATGTGAATATGATATTTCAAAGTAGAATTTAATAATTGAAATTAACATTTATATAGAAATAATACAAAGAGACATTACTTTACAAAAATTGTAGCGGTCTCGGAATATGCCATGTGTTCAAAAATGCAAATATTTTTCCAGAATTTAAAACTTATTAAGTCGCTCTAATATCAGTATTATATAAAACAAAATTCTCGATGACTTTTTTTAGACTTACCAGAAGCCTTCTTAAAAATAAATCTACTTCAAGTTTCAGTGCAAATGTGGGTGTAAAAACCTAAACCAAAATTATTAACTTTACTCTTATGTAAGAAGATCGATTCAATTCGCATGGTGTTAATATAAAAATCAATAACATGTTAACAGTTAATTATATGTAAATATGGTCTTTTGAAGTAGAATGTAATAACGGAAAGTTAAAATTTATACCAAAATAATACAAAGAAACATTACATTTAAAAAATTTTATCCGTCCCGGAACATGCCGTACGTTCAATAATGCAAATAATTTTTCTATAACCTAAAAACATAATACTCACTCTAATAGCAGAATTATTTGAAGCAAAATCCCCGATACCAGTAGCCTTCTTAAAATAAAATAAAACTACTTCAAGTTTCAATGCAAATGTGTATTTGAAAACCTAAACTAAAATTTATTGACGTTATTATATATCCGAATTTAAGATTCAAATCATATGATTTTACTTCAAAAGTTAGCTCTCAACATATAATTATATGTAAACAAGTTTTTTTGAAGTAGAATTTAATAATTAAAAATTAAAATTTTTATTTGACAGAACGAGATATGCGATATCTAAATCACACAGGAAAAAATATAATACTGCACATCGTGTATTTGCACGAGACAAACTTTTATATCAATATGGCGAGAGATAACTAATTATAAATCAATATAGATGATCGATCGAGACAATCAAAAACGTTATAAACGGCGACACCACATTTTGTCTTAATTGGCTAGCTTAGCAATTGTTATAGCAGATGTGGATCGCTAATGCTCTAACAATTTCGCAAGAACATATAATTCAAAACTTAAAAGTGAAACTTAAATTTCAATTTTATAATTTCTTATTTTATTAAATATATTATGTAATAAATGTATTTTGCTTTACTTATAAGAAAAGAAAACTTATTGTTAACTTTTATTGCTAATAAGTAATATTAGCATATATATAATAAGAAATAAACTTGGACATTTCATAACAAATTAATGCAGTAATTGAAACTTACAATAGAGAAACTAAAAAATAAAAAACATTCTGCCTTCAAAAATAAAAATACATATCTTAATTTTAGTAATTAAAATTTATAATCAAAAAGTTAATAGACTCAAAAATTAAAAACATATTATTTTAAAAAATAAAAATGCATATCTAAAATGGCATAATTGAAATTTGTAAAATCAAAATCTTAATAAACTCAAAAATCAAAAATAGGATGCCATAAAATATAACAATACATCTTAAAAATTAAATGTAGATACATTTACTCAAAAGTCTTATTTTTTTTTAATTGGTTGTGTAACCATGTTTTTATGACATCAGTTTTTCTATCTCTTAGAACATTATATTTCATTTTAACTTTTTCTATCTCCGATAAAGGTGGTAATATTCCTTTACGTGTATAATGTGAAAAATATGTTTTTGCATTTTTTATCTCTTCATTTGTCCATCGTTTTTTTTTCTTATATGTTTCACGACCTGTAATACAAATAATTCATGATAAAAAATAATTGAAAGAGATCTTGATGTAACATCTAATTATTATATAGTTACATGATTGATTTTTGCGCTTCCTTTTTCTGTTTTCGCTGTTTATACTTTCATTAGAACTGTTTGAGCTCATATTCATTACATAATCTGATATGTCACTATCTGAATCTTTTCCTATTAAAAAAAACTATAATATAAACATGAAATCCAAATGTAAAGAGAATAAGAAAAAGAGATCAAATTATATTTTAAAATATACATTTTGTTTAACCTAATTGTTTTTATT